TTCTAGGACTCTTCTGAGAAATAATTGCTACATTATGAAGAATTTAAGATACATGTACTTGACAAAGTTTTTTTTTGGGTCACTTCTGATGTCTAAAGACAATTAAATATAGTTAAAATAAGACCATATATTCATTTTGCAACATACAATCTGATGAATGTTCTATAAGTTTTATTTGCTTTACAGAAGTAATTGTAATATTAACTTTGGTATTTGGAACACGGATATCTTAAACAAAATGGTTACTTCAGATTGACACCTACTCCTCAAGCATTCTAATATTGACATCTCAAATATCCGACATCTCAATTGAAAGTTATTTCTTGTCCAATAAGTTCAATACAATGAGGTTTGACTGTATTTACTTTTTTGATTTAATAATTGGTCATTAAGAGATACATGTATTCATTAATAAGTGATCACAAAACATTCTTGTGCAAGATGTTGCAATTTCCAACCTTTCATTTGCACTCTACAGGATCATAACAAAGATATCCTAATTCCAGTAACAGAAAATGGATGTTAATATAAAAATATTTGCATATTCCTTTTCATTCAAACTTAATCAATATGAGATTGATAATATATGTGGTTTAACTATGATAAATCCCCCCTTTTTGTATTACAAGATCATTTCATTTCAACTTAATAGCTAGCAAATAGAATCCTCGACGAGAGCACCTAAAGATACGAGACTTGAGAAAGGCCTTTTCTAAAGGTTTACTGCTCTCAGACCCCACACAATTAAGATCCCCCTGTTTCAAGTCATATATATTAAGTTGGAAGCTCAACTCGAGTGTAAATCTGTAACAACTTATGATATGCAACTGATCTTATGACTTACCTATATATCAGAGCCTCCTTTTCACAACATTAGTCTAAAATTTCATGAATACAAAGCACTGAACTCCAGGAAAGCTCTGGAGCATTTAAATAAATATAACAATACTCTTCTCTGGGCAAGATAGGTGGTTTCATTCTCCCTTTTATTTAAACGAATTCATCACACACTAGAGATATGATAAGGTGGTTTGCTTACAGATTTTATTTATTTATTTATTTTTATAATCTAGTGCTCTAACTTTAATTACAAATTCTTTCATGAAACAAGAATTTTAGGGCTTTCTTTGGTTCTGATGCTTTCATAAATTGATTGTTTCTCCAAACAAATCATTGTTGAGTCTGAGCCCTGTTGTAAGTAGTGCCTAATAGTTGGATTTGAAAGATTCACCAAGTTCTACTTTACAATTACACAGAACATTGTATCTGTTATATTACATACTACCTGAATTTACACAAAAACTAAACTTAATCCTCTCACAAATACATGTAGAAACCTAATATAAATGTATAATAGGTCCAGAACATTCTACTAATATAACCGGACAAATGGCAAAGTTAAGGCTGCTGTACAATGTGCACCTAACAATAGCATCTATGCACAATCTATTGAATTATTTTGACCTTAGTTTTGAACAATTCCAGGCAAATGTAAGTCTTTTGTCCTTATTTTGAGAGAATTCTATGGTAAAAATAAAATATGATTTGAATGTATTTTTGAAAGATTATTTTATTGTGACATAATTTTGTAGGATTTACTGGTAATTATATTTATATACATTTTGTTTTCAGCTTGACTTTCCGGTACTTTTGTTTGAAACTTAATAGTTTTTTTTCCTTAGTAAGCCCCCCCCCCCTTTCTTTAAAAATAGAAATAAATTCTACACTCTAAGCTTGAAAGGTACCACTTTAAGGAAAGGATTTTTAGAAGCAATATCTATACACTGTATAAGCAGACTATTGCTTATATTTTTGTCTCATTCTACAATGGCAAAGATTAATCAAGTATAAACATTCACCGATTTATGTATTTCAAAGGTGTTGGATGTACCTGATATATTGGATTGTGATGATACGTATATTCAATGTCTGGTTTTCCAACTGGTTCACAGATTATTTGCTTTTCTTTTCTTTGACTTATATTTTGACCCATCCTCACTGTGTCCACAAAAAAGGTCCGACCGAGTTTCCATACTGTTGTTCCCCTATTCTGGGTTTGCATTTTCCCATTTCGACGCAGTATGAAACAAAAAGACAATAATTAATGTTGATAACCAATATATGATCATTTAATAACAATACAATGGTAAATTAACTATTTTTTGGCATAACCGCGTGTGCGTCGTCTGCTGCGTAAAAATTTTGAATCCGCCTTATTTAATAAACATCAACAGTAATAAAAGCTTTAAAATGGTTGAAAAACAATACATAAATGGAAAATTATACGATTTTTAAAAATTACAAAGCAAAAATTAGATGTATTTTTTGCAAGCATTTGTTATGCGTCTTTACCTTTGAAAGGTTCAGCAGAAAGGAATGTGAAGAACAAACCCGACCCTTTATATAGACACTTGCTGTGTCATCCAAGCCCGACTCTTAAAAGCCAACGCACAAGGGACCTATATACTAGTGCATAGGTCCCTGCATACATACTTTTCTCGTAAAATAAAGGCATCTATTTTGTATACACAAATAGATGCTATTATGGAAAACATATCTTAAGGCATAAAAAGGTAAAACTTACATTTTCAGGAACTGTCTTAGGTCTTCAGAAATAAATAAAGTCAGCAGCCTAAATTGTATGTCTTACACCATGAAATCTTGAGCTAAATCTGAATAAAACTCAGTACCCCACAAAGACCAAATTTACAACCAATGAAATCTATCCATTTCAAAATCTGACCAATAGATGTGTGTGTGGTCATGTAAAAGTATATGTACAGGTGTGGATCCAAAGGGGTGTATAACTATGTTAGTAAAGAATGAACAGAATGAAACTTTAATAGAAAACTTATCATTTATAACATATTTAATAGTTTATTTAGTTTATGTAATTTATATCTAATATTTATTTTATTTCATTTAAAATCATTTCAACTTTTATAATTTTAATAAAAGTACCTCTACTACAAAAGCACAAATTAACCCGAAGTGTGCTCGCATGGATTCTTTGAAGTCATTTTTTTGGGGGAGAGGGGGATATTATCCGTCGTCAAGCAATGTTGACTTTTGCTTTGTTTTATCACGCTGGAGGGCGTGATTTCATCAGAGGGTAATAGTGTTTTTAACAAATGATTCTTGATGAATCAAAGTAATTTACTGTAAGTATAATATTGGTACATAAGTAAGGGAAGTTGACGATAGAAAATTGAAGTCATCAACTTTATTTTTAAAGTTTTGTTGTTTTGCAATTACTGTCTTTCTCTAATAAAATATCTGTATAGGTAAATTGGCTTTTAACAGATATAATGCTGTTACATTTTAATTGCGTGTTCGTCCAGTTTTTGTAAGTTTTTGTCAAACGCACGAGAATTAAAGGTTAAAAATCATACCTTGACACCAATCACCTCTTTTAAACTTTGTATCACACTTTTGGGACGGGGGTCATTTCTACAGGGGTCATTTTTTTTAAATATGTTGCGCATGTAGAAAAGTGAATTTTTCTAGGGTTTGAGAGTCATTTTTCTAGGGAAGTCATTATTCGTCTTTACACCGCTATTGAATATAATTATGTATGAGGACAAGTTATAAATTCGAAAGAAGAAATTGCCTTTTGCTACATTTGACCCAATTTTCAATTTATAATATGATTAAGGACCCATGCTGAAAAATAAATAAATAGATAAATAAATAGATAAATAAATAAATAATGCATGGAGAGTTTTTTTTTTCTCTTGACTTGTTTTTGTTGTAAATGATGCAACTAAAGAAATATGCATCTCTAAAGTCTATAGCAATTTAAAGCATCTATTATATATTTAGAAATCTTTGTTAATCTCTTTCACCATTTTCCTTATAAAACTGTGTTGTTTTTTAAATCACTTTATAGGATAATATCGAGGAACTTTGAATTTTTTACTTATATAAATATATATCAAATGTTAATTTCATGGATTTCGAGAAAAGCTTAATCTGTCCTTAGCGGAAAAAAAATATTTTGTGGCTAAACAAAAACTGGATGGAGGAGTTATATGTACTCCGAGAGAATCCTTTATCATTTATTGTCCTGTATCACTGCTGAGTCTTATATATTTATTTATATGACAAGTAATATTATATGAGTGACGCTGTTTGATCTGTCATCCGATATTCTTTAAAAGCATACGGAATTTCAATTAGAAATAAAAATTAAATATATATACTGAACTATCTTTTCTTCTCTATAATCGGTTCCTTTATTCAATACAGTTTAAATAAGTTATACTAAGGTAAAAAATATGAAATTATAAATCTTAATCTAATTTCCGAATCTACTGTATGCAATGTCTCTTTTTGGTAATCATCGTGTTTCTATGGGAACTTTCTTCGTAGTATTACAGAAATAAATCTCTTTGGAATCTTCATAAATATATGAAAAATTCAATTAGTAATTCACATGCGAAATAGATGTAAGAAGTATCTGCAAGTATGACCATCGGAATCTGAGTTACAGCTTTTTGGGAGAAAATATTCTTTAAAAATCAGAGATCAAATTCACAACAGCACAACTATTCTTCAGTAATCTTTGCACTGTTCAAATGACTTATTATTTTCAATTATATAGTGGACAGAAAAGCAGGAAGGATTTTCTGTGAAGGGTGCTACTTTTCTTAACAGGCTAAATAAGGAATTCGTTGAAAGGAAGGACAGACAAACAGGATGTGATTTTTTGTGATAGTGCTACGTTTTCATTGAACGGAAGCAGAATATAAGTGCGTAATTAAAATGAAGTAGATTTAATAATCAAGAACATAACATCGTGTTAAGGGTTAATATTGTCTAAAGCTGCTTTTTCCATTAAAAGGTAAAAGAATTCCATCATCGTTTAAAATTTAAATCTTAAAATTTTCTATATTCAATTCCACTTGTGAATTCCTGTTTTTGAAAATTGTAAAAGGAATTACCTATTTAAAGAAAAATCCAGGAATTGTTTCATTGGTTTTGATATTTTCATAACCAGAATGGATACTAGGATGTTATATTTATGCATTGTCATCCTTGGGTCAATATCAAGAAGCACACAGCAGTTGATATACCAAGACAGACCAGAAAACACAGAAAGCAAAATAAGCTTGTTGGAATCGGATACAGTTGCACAGCACAGTAGAAGTATCAATTCCTTAATGATAGAAGTTTCGAATTTGCGAACATCGCTTCAGAATATCCAACAGTCGGTTTCAGGTCGTAGTTCAAGACTTACTGCCATCGAAACACAACAAAGGTCTCAGGGCTCATCTTTGACATTTCTGTCAAAGGGTTTGAAATCATTCAGTAAGTACACGTTGCAATTTCTTGCTTTTTTCAAAGATAAATAATGAGAAAATGAAACAAGTTATTTTATTATAAAAATACTAATTTTCATAGGTAACTAATGGATCAATTTAAAAAAGAAAGAAAAAGGTTAGCAAGATCTAAACAGTTTGGGTAGCTCACTTGAATACTGTTCGTTATCTCCATATATTTCACTCAACTTATCTCTATTCTAGATTTCAGGAATCGTTCAAATGTTCAACAGATATTTTATGAAAATGAATTCCATACATATTATATATTCTATAATTTATAACCATTAAAATTTACTGCAATAGGATTCTATCACAACCTATAATCAATGATTAAACAATGCATGCATTAAACGACTTTGCACTGTGTATATCACAAAGAAAAATAAAATTCATATAAAAAATAAGAAGGTGATAAAACTCTAACAATAAACGTGTTGAACAGTTAAGGTTCGGGTCAGCGATGGTGGATCTAGCTATGGCAGAGTTGAAGTGTTCTATGATGGCTCATGGGGGACTGTTTGTGACGATGGCTGGGACAATAATGATGCAAGGGTTGTTTGTAGGATGCTAGGTCGCAGGTACAGTAAGCCTCAATTTTAAAGAAGTCGCAGGTACTTTAAAAATCGCTTTTTTATAACCAAGACTTTTTTAAATCCATAAAAGAACATAATGCAAGTAACCTCGGTGGAATTAATAAAAATTCCTTTTGAACAAAAACAAAGGAATTTACATCTTAGATGGATTCCTCTGAAGATGTTATTAAGCATCCTATTCCTCTGCAACAACCTTCTTAAAATTCATAGTAGTATTTTCAATTAAGTTGTTTTCATTTCCAAATAAAAAAGGAAATAAACATACAATTTTGATATTGTTAGATTAAACAAGACAATGATCAAAGTTGTGAAAGCAAATCAATTTAAGAAAATTGCAATAAGTCCAAAAAAAAAAAAATGTCGCAAAACCTTGCGAAAATGATCGGAATTACTTTTAAGAATTCGAAAAAAATATGTTTGTTAATTTTCATGTTTGCAAAAGGTGCCTAAACCAATGTGAGTCTGATGATATACTTTGGAGATTTAAAACGATTACTTCCAGCTAGGTTTTTGTTAAAATATGATTATGCTTTTACCCATGTTATTATCTACCTGTTGAAGGTGATTTCTGATATCCTAACTAGTCTTTGAGTTGTTGAAAGTATGTAGAAACTTAATAAATCTTGACTGGAATGAATTCAAACTGCATTGTATTATAACCAGATGTGTAAGGTTGTGTCCTGCTAATCTTTACCCTAAGAGCATATCTCAAGAAAGAGATAACATAAAAAAGTTTCCATATACTTTTTACCACAAACTATATTCATATCCTTAATTACTTTTATTGCACACGTTTACGTTATTAGATATGATAAGATGTTTATTTTAGGTTATACCAATGTTCTATGCTGAATAATCGAGGATATGATGAGGGAATAAGGAAAATAAATTGACTTTCAATTTTGAAATTTTGAAATCATACAGATGTTTGTTGTAGATGTAACACAATACTATGTTTTGTTTCAGCGGAGGTACAGCACTAGAATCCGCTTATTACGGTGAAGGAAGTGGTCAAATATGGCTTGATGACGTCAGTTGTAGTGGAACAGAATCATCTCTGATGGAATGTTCAAAACCTCCGTTTGGTATGCATAATTGTGGTCATGGCGAAGATGCATCGGTAAGGTGCAATTAAAATTGAATTAAAATTGAATGCACGGGTCTTAATCGCGGAAAAGCAGTGTAACTTGTTTCGGAAAAGTTGGATTTTTTTTCGCGGAAAAGCAGTGACTAATTTTGGAAAAGTGGAAATGTGCTAGAAATATTATTCCTGAGTGATGTGTCATGCTACTTTATAAACATATATTATTTTGAATTTAAACATGTATCTTGTTAAAAAAAACGAACATTATCTTATTTGAAGTAGTTTGTGTATACAGAGTATGCCAATTTCATTTATTTTTCCTGGCGCTGATTTTGATTTTCTTTTTATCTTTTTCCATATTGATTCACAAAGACTTAACCAGCTGTTAAGATTTCAGAGAAAATTAAATTTTGTATATCATACAGTCTTTTCTTAATTTCATTTCATTTGTATTAATAAAAATAGATTACATTTTGATGTATAATAGTTATGCACTTTTGTGAAAATGCAATTGTAATTAATATATTGAAGGCATGGATTTTGCTAACATGTCTGTGTCTGTAATAATTAATACTCCTCTTGGGGGCCGATATCAGGGTTTATTGATTGATTGTACGTTGTTTAACGCCCCCTTCGAGAGTTTTCTACTCATTTAGAGACGTAACTAGAAGCCGGTGAAGGGCTTCAAATTTAGACCTATGCTTGGCAACCATTGAACAGTGAGGGATCTTTATATATTACCGTTCCAACGTCTGCCGTGACACGTGACCTCGCATTTTAAGGTCACATCCGAAACACATTCACTTCTAATGCCGGACGCTTTGCAAAGGAACAGTCACTGTCCATGTTTATGTCGTGGTTATTTTTCGCCAGATATCAGGAAAAATAATATTAAAGAGTACTAGGATATACTGGTACATGTAGATATCAATCCATCGCAATTAAAAACTTAAAGATAACTCATTGACACAAACTTTGAGAATATTTTCCCCAACATCATTTCATAAACAACCGGATACATGATTGCACTTTGGGAACAGAACAATTTTTGTAGAGTAGCTTAGGTTTGTTTCAGGTAGTACATGTAAATGTTTGCTTTGCGTGTAAACTTGAAATGAAAAAATAACAATACAACTTGTCCCATCACTTGTTCGCACGTGTCATGTAGCAATTATCTGTGGGCGACCCTCTTATCCAACATTTGCGAAGTGGTACTTCACTTAATACACATCTTATGTTTTATTTCACTCCAGATGTCAATTGTGTACAAAAAAAATCAACCCTCGCGATGGATGCTTCTACATCACATATATTCAATTCTATCAACAACAGCCAAGTTCTCGATCTTTCTGAGGAAGTCTGAAAAATTGTAACAGTATTAAGGAAGAACCCTTAATATAATCAGTACACAGAGAATATAACAGACAGACGAGACAACAGCTTTGATATTTAAATGTAGACTTAATTCTGAACCAAAATATTTGAACCTTTCAGCAGCCAAAAATATCATTAATGAATGCGTTCTAGGCCTTTGAAATAATTATGATCGCAATTCCAAAATTTTCCTTTGTCGAACCTTACCCCTTTGTTTGCTTACAACCAAAAAAAATTATCATCATGGTCACGTGTTTGATGCTGTCGGTAATTGACCAGTCAGCGCTGGGTCATTCAAGCTTCAACGATGCTATTGAAAGCAGCAACAATTTTTCACACCCAACACCATCCCAGTTTTTCCCACCTTTCTTGCATTTACGCTTTAATTTTAATTGCATTTTTATGTGGCTACTTTTTTGCTGTATACTAAATACATTATATATCTTTTGCATATGATTCTCATCTGTAAATTTAGGGGATCAGATATTGATATGTATTGTGCGAATAGCTTTTGATCTAATCCTCTTTCATATTTTGTAAATATTTTCATTATTTTCATAATATTTAATAAATGACAAATTTCACCTTTCATTGATATTGATTTAATTGATCTTATTTCAGCAAAAAACAGCTGCACTTAGATTGTAAAGCACGAGGAAACATAAAACCAAATAATGAAGTTTATATTTTATTATTTTTGTGTTAAATTTGAAACACAGATTTAACAATTATCATTGAAGGGACTTTAAACAAACAAACAAACAAACAAACAATATTTATGGGGAGGTGTGTGCTTCATTCATTCCTATACACATGCGACGAAAATTGCAAAAGTTACTAGTATCTCGGCAAGTGCCGCTATTAATTGGGATAGCAAATCCAGGTTTCTTCACCTTGAAACAGTAAATACGAGGGGTTATCAAAAAGTTCGTGGACTAGCGCCATAAAATTAAAACCACTTTAGGTACATTAATGAATTTTAAAATATTCAGTTAGCATCATCTTTTCTATCTATAGAATAAACCACAATTCATAAGTTTTATTTTTTAATAAATTAGTAATGTTTTTATAAGCAATGACATGTCCAGGCGGCGCAATCGCGAACATGACGCTTTTTCAACCTGAGTGTAACTAAGAAAAAACTCTTTTGATATGAACACTTGACATCCAAAAATCCCGTTAATTCAGGCATGTGATGGGACACAATTGTTCCGCAAAATGTGCAATTTTTACCCCATTCTGTACGTTCTATGAAATTTTATCCTATATTTTATAAGGAGTGTCCATACAATTTAGGACTTGAAAATGACGTCAAAAAGGGGGAGGGTTTCTTTTTCCATCATTCTATAAAGTTTTGCTACTGAAAAAACTGGTATAGACTTAGGGAAAGTTTAAACTGGCTACAGAGAAATAAAATGCATCCAGAGTACTTGTTATTAAATGCCAAAAGAGATTCAAAGAGATGAGAGATGAGCAGTAAATGTCGATTTGTAGTCAAGGTGTGAAAAGTCAATCTCGTCAAAAAGTGACGTTGATCATGTGTGGTTTATATTGAACTCCAACAAGCAAAATATGCTAGCATAATCAAGCGAGGATCTTTCCTTAAGTAAAGATTCATTTACAATTTTATATGCATTGAAATCAGCTGTTCATGACATTGTTATGTCATATAAACAAGTTAGGTTTTAGTTTTTGCTTAACTCCAGGGAATCTCGTCAAGATAAGTGTATTGAGACAGAGGGAGCAGGCATTGAGAAATAATGACGTTGTCGGACGTCATGAAACTAAACGACGACAGCGCCGGGTGATCATATAATGTCTTTTTTATTTTATAATAATCTGGCAAATTGTCAACGTATCAAGCTAAAATTTTCTACACTTTTTAAACTTTTGCTGTTTAATGTTCCTTACAAATTTTGTAAACACAAACTACATAGTATTAATTTTATCGCATCAGTCCATGAACTTTTTGATAACCCCTCGTATAACGTCATCTTTGAGAGTATTGCTCTTTTATCTCATTTTCAATAAAGAGGCAGACACTTCGGCTACAACTGTTTATAGATTTATTGTTTACCTCTGCGTTTTGTACATCGTGAACATATAAGAAACATTTCAGGCTTCAAAGTCTTTCCCGACTTTCAGGTTTAAAATGTCATAAGGTCCATAGTCCAGAAAATGACTGTGTTCGTTATTTGAATCATTTTGGTTCTGTAAGCGCACCCCTGGTTCATTATTTTCTCGTTCTGACCAATTAGTTGAATTGCTTATCTGTTTGTCTTGTAATGATTTCTCATACCCTATAAAACAGTAGAAATATATATACACGTTCTTTGTAAACATGCAATACACATGTATTTAATATCTTTATGCGAATAAACCTTTTAGCTTGAATAAAAGTAATGTTACCTTGATTATCTTGACATCGTTTTGATGTACTTTTCCTGTTAAAAAAGGCTACTTTAGGAATGACTCTAATTCTTGGCCAAATTATTCGAGTATAACCTGGTTTGGGTCAGTTTACGCTTTATAATCCGCGAAGCGGATTATAAAACAGCGTAAACTGACCCAAACCAGGTTATACTCGAATAATTTGGCCAAGAATTAGAGTTATTCCTTATAATTTAATTTTAAAATCATTAAATAACTATGGGTGTAAAATTTCGTTGCTTTTTATTAGTTCAAATTTGCCGCTCAATAATACAACCATAGTAACGGAAGTGATGGGAAGTGAGGGGAGGTAAAAACTGATACACAGGCCCACAAGCCTTGTAGTTTATTTACAAGTGGTAAGATCGAATTATTGTTTGAAGTTAAAGGTACATTTATTAAATATGGAATTTTCCATGAATCCCGAGAACTGGAAATGAGAGGATCGTATGGATACATATGTGTCAGCTGGTTGTCAGGGGGGTGTGTCCCCATATCAAACCAGGTTATACAGAAATATTTTGTGTTCCTTTTTGGATATTAACCAATCAGAGGCTAGAATACAAACAAAATTAAATTATATGTATTTACTCACGAATAATATATTTACATGTAACAGATATTTTTGTAAATTTCTAGGATGGACTTGAGGATTTGCTTTGTTAACTTTTGGTTAATGTTATTTAGAAGAGTTTAAAGAAAATTAAGCAAATCTGATGGAGGGCATTTCCACATACCAGTTTTCTCCTTAATTTTTTTTTTTTTTTGACGTGTAAGTATATACACATACTAGTAGTGCATGTAGCCCCCTTCCGTTAATTGCTGTAAAATACCGGGATGATTATTTGTTCAAATCCAAGTATATTTATGTAAATTGACGAAAGATGAGAATGTTACAAATTAGTTATGTTAATATTACTACGGAGGCATCTAAACCTTTCATTTATCCTTACATGTACACGCATGCATGGCTATTTATCACAATGAAATGATAAAATATTGGAAAAAAATCTTTCTTAAAATGATTTATAAATGCAAACAATGTATTCTTAAACGTGGAAATAGCTTTATTTGATAACGTAAAGATTCTTTGTAATAACCTACCTTAGTTTACAATATATAAACATGCAAACTGTAAAACCAACACCACAGACAATAGTCACCGATATTGCTATAGTCAACCATACAATGCCTTGGTTGATAAAATGTCCAACTGTGAATTGACCAGAAGAATTCAATGGAAATGTAGTGACTTTAGTATGATCTAAAACACAAAAAACAGAAAAACTTGAAGCATCACCTATATAAATCTATCTATTTATCTCTCTCTCTCTCTCTCTCTCTCTCTATATATATATATATATATATAAAATGAAGAATGGAAAAAGTACTAAATTAAACAAAAGCTGGTGACGTTACATTGTATAAAAAGTCTCGATAACTACTTACGACTTAAATATATTATTATTATAAAAAGCATTAAAAGAACCTATTGTACCAATCTCTGATATCTTTGTATCATCAATCACCCGCTATTGTATCCACTCATGATTCTGGACATATTATTAGTATTATATTGATGGAATGAAATGTAACTTCCTTATGATATTATATGAAATAAGCTTGAAATGGCTTGAAATTCATCCATTGGTGTGAAAATTGTACAAAATGTGATCAATGGATGCAAATATAACCACTTATGCTACTTTTTATATCTTTAGTTAATTTTTTGTTATAAGTATTTTTACTGCTTTCTTTTATTTTTAGGATTGCTATTTTTTAAAAGGCATTTCTACCTACAAATCTCTGTTTTCAGATACTTTCTAAAAGCCGATATTTCTCAAGTTAATTACTTTAATGATTTGGTTAAAGAATAAATTTAGAGACAACAAGAAGATCAGGAGCAGAGCAATCACGGGCCTCTGAATACGTCAGAGGTGGAATCAGGTGCCATGGAGGAATAAGCACCCCCTGTCGACCTGTCACATTCGCCGTGTGTTCATTGTCATGGTCGGGCTGATTGAAAAATCCATAGACAATTCAGTGTTTAAATAATGGTCAAACAATTAGTATGAAAAAAGTCAGTAAGCATTCGACATAATGATAGATTGTATTTGCTGACAAGGTCATTGTATTGACCATAAAACTTGCGAAATGATTACTTTAAACGAGACTGTTGATATCCTTGTTTTATCAACTTGTTTGTCAATAACTTGCCTCGTTACAGAAATTGTTCGTATATTGCTACATAAGTAAGGGAAGTTGACGATAGAAAAGTTGAAGTCATCACATTTGTCATAAGGTTTTGTTGTTAGGAAATGTCTTCTTTTTTCCTAGTAAACTAATCAAATATAAATCATATGTGTCAGACTGTGTGTTATCTTTTATTTTAAGTTCACCTGGATATATCAAGTTTACATGTGGATGGAAGTAACTTTTGTTAATTGATAATACGTCGACGATATATCTAAATGCCGAGTTGAAGTCCACAGAATTATCTTTTTTCCTCGCTTGTAAGTTTTTGAACAAATTCTGCTTCATATGGATACAAAAACAGGTCTGCTAATAACTGGGCGCAATTGGAGTCCATCCAATTTCCCACATATTGTTGAAAGACCCGATGTCAAAAAACTATAAGGATATTGTCAATCAGAAACTCAATCATCTTTTTAAATATATTCTTTGGAGCATTTCTGTGTACAATTGGAATGATTATAACGAAATAATTTTGCAAACGACCAATGTGTACTATTTATTTTACACCATGATCAGGAGATTATATATCTTTAACCTTTTGGGTAGAAAAAAAAAGTTTTTGTTGTCTTCAGTTTGGACTTGCAGTACGATTAAATGTTAAAAGTTAATAGATAAATTATTATTTAACTTTTAAACTCCTTCAATTTACTTGTATCACCATTACTAAATATCAAGGTTTTCAACTTTCTCTGATAAGGTTTAACCTATATGAAACGTGTTTGAAAGAAAATAAACGCATCTTTATAATGTACCTACCTTTTATATTCTGGAGGCGACTGAAAAAAAAATCAATTTATCGAAAATAATTTCTTAAAAAAGGAGAGAAAAGGGGACATGAATCCTTGCGAGTACATATATAAAATGGTGAAAATTTATCAAATGGGGAGGGGTATCGAAGATTAAATAAAGATTGTTTATAAACATGTCATCGTACAAAAGAAGATTATTGAATTCAAATGCATAAAAATCCGGGGTATACATGTAATAAAATTTACGTGAATAATGAGTATGCGTATATATATATATATATATATATAATGAAATTGTAGTAAAAGTCCACGGTATAGGTAGGTTATAAATTAAAATAAAATCCAAGATAAACAAACAAGTTCACATTTAATTATTACACTAAGCGCTTTCGCCGTGAGGCTCTTCAGAGTGTAACAAAGTTTATAAAAACAATACAACTTGGTTGTTATGACGTCGTTATTGTGACGTCATAAAGGCAGCATTATATATTGGCGCAGGTAAATGTCATTAGGGCGCCAAAAGTAGAGAATTGAACATATGTATATTGTGATGAAATAGACTGCTAATTTTAAGCTATAATGTTCAATTTACATTTAGTTTAGGTTTAAATAATTTAACAAAGTAATCTTCCTTGGCTCTCCGTAATTGTTCATTATTTTCTAGAACTTTATAAAAAGGAAATATTAAAAAGTTTCCATTCGCACATGAATCAAAATGTTCACTGCATGGCGTATTCCTGACAGAAGGGTCCCGTATTTGTTGTTTATGGACTCTTACGCGGTCAGCTAGTTTGTTACCGGTCTGTCCAATGTAGTTTTCCCCGCATGAAGTACAAGTCATACAGTATATTAAATTTTTAGATTTGCATGACATATTCGCATTTACGGTAAATGTTTTACCACATTTAAAAGTAAACGTCTCTCCTGTTTTTAAATAAGGACAGGTTCCACATAGGGGGTCCATACATTTGGCCACTGTGCGTATGTCTTCATTTGACGAAAATTTGGCTCTTGTAAGGAGTTTCTTCAGGTTTGGGGGTTGGCGCCGGCTATAGATTACGTTCTTCAGGTCAATTAATTCCTTTAGATTTTGGGATTGTTGTAGAATGGGGAAGCACTGTTTTACGGAATTATACATATTAAGGTTCCGGGGGTTATGTGTAACGACAAGCGGGATTTCTTTATTGTTTTCCTGGGCCCCTGCTCTTGTAGAACTCCGGAGATCTGTAGTTGGTATTGACTTGGCCCTTTCAATAGCGACGTCTATTAGATCATTGGGATATTTTTGTCTAAGTAAAAAAGTTTTCAATTCCTGTAGACGGCTGTTTCTTCTGGTTTCATCTATGACAATGGTACAAACACGTCTTGCCATATTAAAAGGTATGTTACGTTTTACGTGTGAAGGATGGCAGGAATTAAATACAAGGTATTGGTGGGAATCCGTTTTCTTGTAGTATAAATCTGTTATGATTTTACGACCCTCCTTAATTATAAGGATATCTAAAAAAGGTAGTTCCAATCCGCTTTTTTCCACCGTAAATTTAATAGACGGGTGTAGATTGTTAAGAATTGAATGAAATTCTTGTAAATCTTCATTAGATCTGTTCCAGAAAATGAAACAATCATCTAAATATCGCTTCCAATTAAAGCGTATATATTGGGCAAACTGATTTCCAAATCTTCTGTCTGTTTCACTGATCAATTTTTCTTCTAAAAACCCAAGTACTAGAGTGGCATAGGTTGGGGCAACTTTTGTGCCCATCGCTGTTCCTTTTATTTGTAGAAAATTTCTGCTGTCAAAAACAAAATGGTTATTTTCTAATACTATTTTTAATCCTTCTAGGATAAAGTCTTGGGAAAATCTTTCATTTATTTCACTGCGGTATTTATCGATCCAAAAAGCGATTGCTTCCAGTCCAAGTGTATGTGGTATGTTAGTATAGAGGCTCGTTACATCAAAACTAACCATCTCTGTATTTATTTCAACTGTATCTGGGATGTGGCCAAGAAAATCCATATCATCCCTTACATAACTTGGTACAAGTTGGCATAGAGGCTTTAGAAGTATATCCAACAAGTTACTAATTCTGTGCGTGGGGCATGCAGGGCCAGCTACAATTGGTCTAAGCTTTAAATCTGTTGGTCGAGGTAATTTTATATATAAAGCGTTTTTACCTTCGAGTCCGTCCTGTATTTCTTTGGATTTGTGGATCTTTGGTAAACCATAAAAGTTACTAGATTTATTTTCGAAATTTGTTAAATAATCCACTTCTTTCACGGTTAAATTATCCGCAAATTTAGAAGTTAATTTCTTAATCTTGCATATGGTTTTACTGTCCTCATTAGAAACTAATTCTTTGTAAAAGTTGGTGTCCATAAGTTGGTCTAAAACCATTTCTCTGTAATGATCCATATCCATAATGACAATTGCTCCCCCTTTATCTGCTTCCTTTATAACAATAGAATTATCACTTGCGAGGCTTTTGATAGCTTCTCGTTCCAGTCTATTGATATTATCTTTAATACGGGTATTCATACAGAAGTCATTATTTCTTGCGGAACTTTGTAAACATTTAATAAATTCATCTAAATGTTTATCTCTATTAGGTGGTGGTTTGAAGTTACTTTTATTTCTTACAAGAGATTCGTCTATATTTTCTTCATTTTGAAAATATTCTCTAAGTCTAAGTTTTCGACAAAACTCCTCGGTATCTTTTATGAGATCCACATTATCCTGTTTTGGCGTGGGTGTGAATTTTAAACCCTTTTCTAGAATTTTCATTTCGTTTTCTGAAATATCTCTCTGAGATATATTAATAATTTTTACATCGATTTTCTGTTTTTGACTTACTTCTGAGTTGTCTAAATTTGCAGAAATCGGAATGTTTTTTGTCGTCCCTTGTGGAAGCGTCCTTTCCACAAAAAATTATTCTCCGAATTGTTCCTTGTTTGATTTTCTTGTTTACTGTTAAAACCATGTAAAATGTTTTGTGCTGTCCGCCATCTTTGGTTCCTTTTAGGGGGTAGATTCCAGTGTTGATCCCTTATTCCGGCATTGTTGGGTTGTGTCAGCCGTTGATAATTTACATTTCTCACCATGTTTCCTTGATTGTTTTTCCTCATTTGGTTATCCTTGTTGCGAGTGTTATTTGGTCTGTTCTTATATGCATTGCTGTTGTTGTGTGCCCGAAATTCGGATCTATGTGGTTTATCATTGCGTACGGCATCAGCGTAAGAAAATCGGTTTTCCTTCCTATATCCGGATTTTGTATTTCCATTGCTTTTGCTCCTACGATTTCTTTGTGTGTTCGGGGAATTTTTCGTCACTTCTTTCCCGTAATTTTTCTCATAATTATTAAGCCACTCCTGCTTTTTTTCAAGAATTTTAGCAGATTTATCCATTTCATATTTCACTGTGTTGGATCAGTGAAACAGACAGAAGATTTGGAAATCAGTTTGCCCAATATATACGCTTTAATTGGAAGCGATATTTAGATGATTGTTTCATTTTCTGGAACAGATCTAATGAAGATTTACAAGAATTTCATTCAATTCTTAACAATCTACACCCGTCTATTAAATTTACGGTGGAAAAAAGCGGATTGGAACTACCTTTTTTAGATATCCTTATAATTAAGGAGGGTCGTAAAATCATAACAGATTTATACTACAAGAAAACGGATTCCCACCAATACCTTGTATTTAATTCCTGCCATCCTTCACACGTAAAACGTAACATACCTTTTAATATGGCAAGACGTGTTTGTACCATTGTCATAGATGAAACCAGAAGAAACAGCCGTCTACAGGAATTGAAAACTTTTTTACTTAGACAAAAATATCCCAATGATCTAATAGACGTCGCTATTGAAAGGGCCAAGTCAATACCAACTACAGATCTCCGGAGTTCTACAAGAGCAGGGGCCCAGGAAAACAATAAAGAAATCCCGCTTGTCGTTACACATAACCCCCGGAACCTTAATATGTATAATTCCGTAAAACAGTGCTTCCCCATTCTACAACAATCCCAAAATCTAAAGGAATTAATTGACCTGAAGAACGTAATCTATAGCCGGCGCCAACCCCCAAACCTGAAGAAACTCCTTACAAGAGCCAAATTTTCGTCAAATGAAGACATACGCACAGTGGCCAAATGTATGGACCCCCTATGTGGAACCTGTCCTTATTTAAAAACAGGAGAGACGTTTACTTTTAAATGTGGTAAAACATTTACCGTAAATGCGAATATGTCATGCAAATCTAAAAATTTAATATACTGTATGACTTGTACTTCATGCGGGGAAAACTACATTGGACAGACCGGTAACAAACTAGCTGACCGCGTAAGAGTCCATAAACAACAAATACGGGACCCTTCTGTCAGGAATACGCCATGCAGTGAACATTTTGATTCATGTGCGAATGGAAACTTTTTAATATTTCCTTTTTATAAAGTTCTAGAAAATAATGAACAATTACGGAGAGCCAAGGAAGATTACTTTGTTAAATTATTTAAACCTAAACTAAATGTAAATTGAACATTATAGCTTAAAATTAGCAGTCTATTTCATCACAATGTACATATGTTCAATTCTCTACTTTTGGCGCCCTAATGACATTTACCTGCGCCAATATATAATGCTGCCTTTATGACGTCACAATAACGACGTCATAACAACCAAGTTGTATTGTTTTTATAAACTTTGTTACACTCTGAAGAGCCTCACGGCGAAAGCGCTTAGTGTAATAATTAAATGTGAACTTGTTTGTTTATCTTGGATTTTATTTTAATTTATATATATATATATATATATATATATATATATATATATATATATATATATATATATATATATATATATAGAAAGCACCAAGGAATTCACTTTTTTTATTAGGATACTCACTTCCACCCCAACCCGGAGTTGAACTCTCGATCTACGGATTCTGTCCCCTAGCAGTACAGGAACAACGTGCTAGACCGCCCGGTTATCTAAGCAAGTCAAAAACCTTGCTTTCGATGCCGATGGAATTCTCGCGGCGCTGTTCTACACTTCACGGTCATTGAGAATGGAAGTGAGATAGAGTTAATTTGACATTAGTTTTATTAAGGATCGTTGCTGGATACTTTTGTAATGAATCAATTTTATTTATAAAGCACATTTTACAACAACTCTTGCATGAACCAGGACTCACAATAGCAAATACATACATCTGATTTGTGTCGTACAGTTGAATGGTAAAAAGTACGCTTTTGTTTTGAATTTCCTGTATTTTATAAATGAATACCCAAAGGGTTGAAATACAAAAAGTTAGCAAAATCACCCTTGTTATACGCCCGTCTTTAGACGGGACGTATTATGTTATGGCGTTCATGTCCGTCCGTCCGTCCGTCTGTCCGTCCGTCCGTCTATTAGCTTTTATCGTGTCCGGCTCATAACTTTAATACTATTAGGCCTAGGATTATCAGATTTTGTCAGATAATACTTCTTGGGTAGAAGGTGTGTCGCACATTGAAGTAGGTCGCTCTGACCTTTAATTAAGATGCTATGGGCAAATATGGAAAAAATCCTGTCCGGCTCATAACTAGAAAACTATAAGACTTAGAATCATCAAACTTGGTCAATTTATTCATCTTAGGTAGAAGGTGTGTCGCGACCTATTTCAAGGTCACTGTGACCTTTAATTTAGGTGAAATTTAAAAAAAAAAATGTTTTTTACTCTTAGATTACACAGTCCCAAAAAAATGCAAGAGTGTTGCAGTATCCTTATTAAAAAAATGTTAATTCAAGAAAATACTTATTTTTTTCATAATATACTTTACAGCAATCTATAACAAATGTAATGTTACAAGTAAAAATTCCACCTCTCCCATGGGTGTAATTATCAAGCACTGGTCAAGAAGAATTTGATAACAGAAAATTGCATGTCAAATTATAGAGAAATTATTGAGTTAAGTGTGAGGAGTTAACTGGTAGAGCATCTCTGATCAAGCAGGTGTTATCTATATCTCTTGGGAACTGGGCAAAAAGAATCAGCTGTGTTGGATTAAATAGTTGGCTAGCCAAACTTTTAAAATGAATTTGATGAAAAGTAATTAAAACTTATTTGATATTGTATAACAAATTATAATTTAAATAATATAATTAATATAATTATTATATAATATAATTAAAACTAATTATACTCGGGATTGCAGCTTAAAACCAGTCTGACATTAAATCTAAAAAAAATCAAGTATTTAAAAAAATGTTTTTAATTATGGTAGATAGTCCCTACAAATCTAAGAGTAAATTGCAGGAACCTTATTAAAAATGTTGCATCAAGATTACACAAGTTTTTTGTTTCTTTTTATAAATCTTTGTAACAAATTTTAAAAAAAATCTTTGTTTTCAAATTTAATTTCAGAATGACATAAATATGCATTTTTATTGCACTACAAAGCAGATAGTGTGTATAGATTCATTCATCCATTGGGATTAATGACCGGACATGCATCCATGCAGTTAAAGATTGTCTCAATCATTTCTGTTAGATGATCTCTGATCAAGCAGCTGTTATCTGTATCCTTTGGGAATTAGACAGAAGAACTGCTGGTCAGTTTATAGCATATGTAATTTGATGGCCAGCCTTTTATTTTTAATATGAATTTGATATAGATTAAGTTGTTAAGACTAAATTGATATTGTTTAATATGATATTTTTATTTAATATTTTGAAAATATCAACTAATTCAGAGCATCATGTCTCACAAATCTGAAAGCTGGGGGGGGGGGGTGCAGATGGACATTTTTCAAGCTCTAACACAACCAGTTGAGGATCTATAATGTAATATTTGTTATAATTAATGCCTACATCACAGGAGATGTATAAACAAATATTAAAAGGAATGGAAAAATCATTGAAATCCTTGCATCAAGGTTGACATGATTTTCTTGCACTCTAAACTGTTTATGACAATTGAACAATATTTGATGGGCATATCATGCTGTGGCGGGGCACTTTATGTTAGGTTATTAGACCTAGAAAAGAAATAGTAGAAATAATTGTATGTATGTTTTTTAAAGAATGTTTTAGGTATAAGTTCGTGATACCTGCACAAAGTATCCGTATTTCTTCAAAACTTTAAAAATCTTTGCTTTACATTATAAAATAAATTAAAAATGGCTTACTTTCAGGAAAAGTATACCCAGTAACTGGATGACATGGTGTACAATTGTTACATGTATCTCCACAGAACCTTCCATAAAAATCAGGAGGGCACGGGGTACAGTTCCAACTATATGTTCCTGGCCAACATTCTTTAAAAATGCAGGTCAACATTCTTTAACAATGAAGTTAACCAAATCAATTACAAATATGAATATAATAGACAACATCTAATACAGTAAACCAACTAATATTCGCGTCATCTTTTATTCGAACTGTCTGTTTATAATCTAACCGCGACTATTAATTTTTGCGACTGAGGAAACATTCTCCGCAAATACACAGCAAAATAATTGGTTCAGGGCTATTAACATTCGCGAGTAAACGTAGGTCGCGAAACTGGGGAATATTTCTCGTACGCGAATAAAAGTTGGTTTGCAGTAATCAATCATGAAAAATAAGTTCATATTATTAAAAATTTTTTTTTGCATAGTTACTGTAAAAATGCGTGTCATAACACAATGTGTATTACTACAATTCTTTTTTTTCACTTTTAATTTTTGAATTAAATTATCAATGGCATTTTCTTTTCAGATCCAGAGATTAAAACTTTTCAAATCCATTTTTACTGAGCTAAATATAAAGTGTATTAAAAGAGATATAATTGAAATTATGCTAAATATTAATTAAAGAGAAAGAGAAATAAAAATAAGCATAAAATTTACCATTTCTTTTCAGAAGATAAGATTAAAATACACATTTCATAAGATATTTCTTAAATATCTTCATATACATAAAAGGAAAACTAACATTTTTTATTTTTTTTTTCCATAAAGCATTATCTCTGACTTTGAATAATTCCTTTTTTGGAACAGAATGTAATTATTCAATTGTAAATTAAAGATAGTAGATGTTACAATAAGCAGTTGCAGCAGAGGAATTGATTAAACGTAATAAATGTATATGGAAATAACGAAAAGTATTTAAAGCTCAAAAGTCCATTTAACAATACAAATCAGGAGCAAAGACGGAACTCTAAAACATCAGAGGCGGGATCAGGTGCCAAAGAATTGAGGCTTTCGGACAATGTCCTTTACCTGCAGCATTAGCATTGTATTGTAATAAGAAGTGAGAGTTCAAAAAGCATACAAATACGAAATACAGAGGGTAAACTTTAAAACATGATTTTGTTTAATTTACAAGTTGTTTTACTGTAATACCTTCACAAGCTTCACCAACTTGGCGATAGTTTTCACAGCATGTCAACGGCTCTCTATAGCATATTTCATTTACATTGTAATGTGTGTGCAAAAAAGTGACTACTTATAAAATCAAAGATTGTACATACTTCCTTTATCTTAGCTTAAATTAGAAAAACATTTAGCAGTGCTAATCAGGTTTATTTAACACACCCACACACACCCACACCCACACCCAGATATATATATATATATATATATATATATATATATATATATATATATATATATATATATATATATATATATATATATATATATATATATATATATATATATATATATATATATATATATTATTCATAGTTTCTTACCCGTTACTTGAACAAATTCCTGATGTATTTCCTAAAAGTTGATTTATCGCATTTGATAACAAAATCAGGATAAAGCAATATTCCATTACCAGACATAAAGTATGAAAACTGTTCTTATGAAAATAAAAGTGTTCTGTGGATGCAAGGAACGAAAAAAATACGATGTTGAAGTACAGGAAATTTTGCTTGATCTCCATTAAAAATCTATTTGACATACTTGAACAAAGGGATGAATTCAATCCAATACACGATGGGAAAAGGAACAAAGCTCTGTTAAGACATTTGGAAAAATATTTTCCTCAATTGTATTTGGCAGCTGTTTTTATTAAAGGCCAGCTTTTGTCTAAGAACAAGGAAGTTACTCATATTGATTAAAGGAAACATTTAACTATGCATGCATAATATAATGAAATATTAATCCATATGGCTTAGTTTTAGTCTAATCTTTATTCAATCTAAATGATCGACGTAAACTAACACGGTGTAATATCGGGAGAAAAGGAAAATAATCTTAGTGAAATTTACGAGAAATAAAATATTATCGGAATCAAGTTTGTAGGTAACTTTTAATAAAATCACGCTATTTTCTCAAATATTACTGCACTGATGCAGACAGACTTCTCCAATGTTGAAACGTCTCTTTGTATTTAAATTTAAATCTAAAATATCCTTTTCTTAGAAAAAGAAAATATTTGCGTCATGAAAGCTTTTCTCTATATACTTTGATTCTCAGTGCATGGCTTACACACTGAGAAACGTTTCCCCCTAAATAAGCATCTAAACAAAAAAGACATACTTTGATAGGTCCAGGTTGTCTTTGTAGCTTCCTCTTGAAAAGGAAAGTCCCAATTACGTTAAGTATAATTAACTCTAAAGCAACTCAAGTATGAACTGGTATAGAAATTCCAATCTTCAAAAGTCTCTTGAATTATTATCCATTATACGTATGTAACTAATGAGGAAGTAACAACAGTTATTCCAGAAAAATTACATAAACAAACATTTATCAGATTAATCATAAAATGTTCATATGAGCATGTAGCCTTTGGGCCTCTTATGTTGGAATTTCATAGCAGAAATTCATTACAGTTTGAAAAGTTTAAAAATGTTAATGAATTATGAATTCTGTTTAAAAAGGAGTTTTGGTATCGTAAATTGTACGAAGAGCTCGATGATGAAACATGGTTTTTAAAGTAAAATTTTGATTTTAGGACCCCCCCCCCCCTCATTCGGCCTGGTGAAAATGAAAAGTCTGAAAGCTTAGTGCACATCTACAGGATATACCATCAATCATATCCCCCCCCCCCCCAAATGAATTGGCTACTGAAAAAAAGTTGAGAAAAAAGATTTTGTAAAAGAAAAAAAGTTTTTCTTTTTCGATTGCTTAATGTACATCTACAGGTTAAGTATAACAACTACATGTATTTCATATATAAATTTAATAAAAAAAAAAAGTAAACATATATTTACAAGTTGTATATGCATCGGCACTTCACTCGTTTTTAAAATATTTAAAATAAAGAACTAGAATTTGCATCATTGCAATCATACTTAAATATACAGTTTTTAGATGCATTGTCTCACAATATACCCATATCGTCAAAGGTGATATCTCACGTTTACTCCATTATCTCTAGAAGTTTTTGAAAACAGGATGTTTATTTTCCTGAAAATAAACAGAAAATACTACAACTGATAGCAACATATGTTTGCATTAACGTTAAGTAAATAATTTAATACAGTTTTTAGTTCTCTTTAAAAAAAAAAAATTATGGACACACTTTTTAGTGATGTCTTTTTTGTGGAGAATGGAGAGGTGATTTATTAAATCACAAAAACAACAACTGTAATGAAACTGTTATTGAAAAATAAATAGGTATCTAATCGCTGCTCATTTTGTCATCGCTTTTATGCATGAAAAAGAAGAAAACAATGAATTTTCTTACATTCTATAGAGGAATTTTAAAGTAATATCCGTCATACTTACTTACCTGCTTGTCTACATTTTACCTAAGCCCCTGGCATGCAGTGCTATATAATTACCTGTAACGGTCTCCTTATTCCCATGTCTGATAACGGATCATGGTGAGAATCCTGAACATCTCTTAATGCTTGAAACGCCTAAAATGCATTTCTTAATATAAACGGTTTCAAAGATGAGCATAATCCTAAATTTATTTCTTAGATCTACAAGTGATAAGATTCATTGACTTCTTTTGTCAGAAGGATGCTTAATCAACTTTGAACCTCAGTTGTTTGTTGTGCAATTTTTTTATAAGGTAGAGACTACTATAATTGAATTTACTCACCTCACGAGTCACTTTTATTGGACATTTATGAACTATCCACTGCACAGTTTCATAACACGGTGGCGTGGTTAAGGAACCCTTATATGTATAAAATTTACGGTCATAGGGAAGGACGTCTAGAGGTGATATTCCACATACTGACACTTTCTTATGTTTATGATCACCTTTTCTTATACAGTGTTCTTTTATGAAGTCTTGCTGAAGTTTCTCTGGATTACAAGGCGGATCTACAAAACAAATTGTTCTTTTCAATTCGAATTCTTCCATCATTTAGTCTTCTGGAAGACAAAACTTCTAATAATCCAAAATTTTACCGATAAAGTCTGATAATTACTGATATTGTTCGGCTGCAGATAAATTTGTTATAATTACTGTCGTTTTATTGTCCTTTCTGTCATTTGCTGATAAATACTGCCGAAAATGCTGTCTATACTGAGAATAATTGTTCTTGAGAGCATAAAGTTTAAAAGAATGAAGAAAATTTTTTTTTTGCAAATGCAAAGTTTAGTCATGTCTCCTACTTTGCTTGATGTATTTTTTCATGAAATTTATTTGTCAACAAAATCAATAACGAAGTATTTTTTGTGTGCTCCATGTACACAGTTCCTGCACTGACAATATGTAGGACAATATGTAATTAGCGTCTATTGTAACACTGACCACTACCACTTACAAAGAATATACAGGTATATACCCTAGTTCTGCCTTAGTGCCTATGTAATGGACATATTAAAGACAAATCACAGGGCAGTACTTTGATCAATACGATGTATGAGAAACGTAAATCAGCAGAAATAAGTAATCGTGTTTTTTTTGTTTCAATGTTTGTATCGCGATATATTTCAAAATTCGGATACATAGCTCATATCCTTTTTGTTGATGGACTATCTGTCTGTTATCTGAATGTTGACTTTTCTGATGATTAAAAAGTATGGAACATCGGTTGGAATTTTTTTTATTCAAATAAAACGTTATTTTACAGATTTCCACTCCCGTTTTAATTTTATTTAGACCATTGAATTTATAACCTGTGAAATCCATAATAAACTTCATATTTTGAAAGTTTTAAGTTTGTATTATTGTTTAGTTTTCATGTAGAATTGCATCGTAAATTTAAAAATAAAAATTGAAGTCCATGTCAACTACAACCTTCCACGTTTTCCCATTCCGCGATACAATGAGACTCTCCAATGTAGGAGGTAAACAAGACTTCCTGTTTTAAAAAAGACTACAAATTAAACGATGCAAGCTTGGAATATAATTTGACACAAAAAGGTTAAGCCATAGTTAGGTTTATGAATATCATTTGATGAAAGGTTAAAGTAAAAATTTGAAATTACACTTTTTATGCAAAAGAATTAAGTACCGCGATACAATGAGACACCATTATATGTGTAGCAGATGGAGGTATATTCCTGGACTAAATATTTTAATGAATTATTAATATGTCGGAACAGGGCAATTGTTGATGATCTCTTTCAGACAAAATATCGAATGATTTTCTTATTCTATTCCGAAGAATAGGAAGCAATGGTTGGGGTGGGTTTATTTATTATCTTCTATCTCGCTAGAACTCTGAATATTTTTGCTCACTTTCTGCAGGAGCACATCGTTTCTTCTATATATTTTACAATTGTCAGGTGCACTCCTTTCACGCAAGAACAATAGACAGAGTAAATATTAGCAGTTTTCAGGAACGACAACAATATTAAAAGAAATTATCAGCAATTAGCAGAACGAACGGTGAAATGATACCGGTATTAATTATTAGTATTTATCAGCAACGATTAGATTTATCAGTGACCACAATGAAAAAATGTAAATATAATTTACTGTATTTATCATGAACAACAGAAAGATATCAATAAGTAATAGACTATCAGTAAATTTGGGGATAATCAGTACTTTTTTCGTGCAGTAGTGGCTCATGCAAATAAAACCTTATGAAACCTACAAATATTAACTTAACATTTTTGCTAAGCTACATGTAATAATTAATGTGTAATTTTATGTTTTTATTTTTAACAATGTTATATTATACATATGTCATGACTTACGTGTTTCCGGTTTTTCTATTTTAAATTCTTCACCATTATAGTTTCTTATCTTCTTGAAGTATGTCGTCATTATTTCACTCAGTGTTTTGGCAAACCTCACTTTGCAACGACGATGCTATATAAATAAAATTGTTTTACTTATTCAGAATCTACATGTATATGAGCGAAGAATAAAACCATTTTCTTGGTTTACCAAATGTTTCGTCAAAATGTGTTTAAAATTTAAACAATATATTTTTACATTACCCCTTTGTAGCATCTTCTTTTGTAATAACGTGCATAGTCTTCGTCGTTGCCGTTGTTACAAATCTTCAAAAAGAATCAGAGTCTTATGAGTTGAGGTGTGCATTTACAGGATATTTACAACTATTTAGCTCACCTGAGCTGAAAGCTCATGTGAGCTTTTCTAATCAACATTTGTCTGTTGTCTCTCGTCGTTTTTGGCGTTGTCCTATATATATTCGTTCTCATATTTTCATCTTCTCCAGAACCACTGAGTCATTTTCAACCAAACTTTGTCATAAATCATTTTTGGGTAAAGGAAATTTAAAATCTACTATTCAAAAGAAGGATCACATCCTCTTTCAAGGGGAGGGGTGATATTCAATAACTAGTGAAAATTTAATGGTGTCTTTTAAAAATCTTCTCAAGAATAAACACTTGACCAAAAAAGATTAAACATATAGAAGTTTTATTATTTAGTATAAAATCAAATTTATCAAATCATACCCCCGGGTAGTGCGAGGCCTTGATAGGCAATCAAAGTTTTACATAGAAATATATAGGAAAAATCTTTTAAATTCTGCTTCTCAAGAACAGGAAAGTCATGTTTCTTCATATTTATATAGAAACACCCTCAGGTACTGTTTGAATTCAGGTTTGTAAAAATCAAGAACCCCGAATGTAGGGTGGGGCCATTTTAGGAAACCAAAATTTTACATCGGAATATATTGAAAAAAAATCTTTACAAATCTTCTTCTCAAAAGCAGCAAAGCAATGATGTCAAATTAATATGGAAGCATCCTTATGTAGTGTACATGTAGATTCCAGTTTGTTCAAATCATGACCCCTGGGGTAGAATGGGGACACATAATACAACCTTAGTTTTACAGGAATGTATAAAAAAAAAACTTCTCAAGAACAACAAATCCACGATTTGTCAGTGGGGCCACAATATGGGATTAGAAATTCATATAGGAATATGTAGGAAACAATCTTTAAAAAATATATGATAGGTAATACTGGTATAGAATCATCCTCAGTTATTATACCTCTAAGTTTAAATCATAACCCTGGGGAAAAATGGGGCACATTTGGAAATCAAAGTTTTACATGGAAATAGATTGGAAATAAATCTTCTCAAGAACAGCAAAACCATGATTAATAATATTTATATGAAAGCATTCTGAGGATTTGTTAATATGATCCCGGGATAGGGTGGGATGCATAAAGGTGATTCAAGTATATAAGAAAAAATGGGATTACTTCTCTACTCGAGTGCAGAAAAGTCATGCATAGTCATATTCATACGAAAGCATTCATAGAAAGTGTAGATGCAAATGTTTACAAATCTTATCACTGGGGGAAGAGTGGGACCACAAAAAAATTTGAGTTTTATATCGGACTGTAGGAAAACTTTCTTCCTCTTCTGAACAGCAAAGTCTTTACAAGTCATATTGATTTGCAAGTGTCCCCAGGTAGTGTAGATTAAAGTTTATTCAGTAAGTGATCTCGGGAAAAGGCTACAGTAGGGGATTAGATTTTTACAAGGGAGTATAAAGAAAGAAAGATTTTCAAGTATATGAAAAAATCGCACTTAGTCATATTAAATAAGCAGAATATACCTAAGTTTTGTGGAATCATTTTTTTTTCATATCGAGCCCTGGGGTAAGGGTTGGGCCAATTAAGAAATCCATATTTTTTATAATGCATGTGCATAGAAAAAAATCTCAAAGGCGTCAGAGCAATGTTGATCTTATTGAAAATGCAGCATCCCAATGTGGTGAGGATTCAACTTGATTAAATTATAACTCCCTTAGAGCTAGATATTTGTCCACAATATGGAGTCATTTTTTTTAATGAAATTGAAGAAGAGTATTTAAAAAATTCTGCAGATGAAGAACAACAAGGCCAAAATGATTCAAGTGAACGTTGTGGCCAATGCCAGCTCTCCCCTTTTTCACCTCAGAGCTATTTCTATCGTTTAATTGGACCAAACATATTTTGTCTACAAGCATTAAATAATTATTTTAATGGATTATTAATCTGATATGTAAATGTACAAACGTCTTCATGGTCTCTTATATGGCCATATTCATCTTCTTCCTCTTCAACATTATCATCATCACTTTGTACCTTAAAAAGAGATGACTAATGATTAATTATTATGGCATATATTATTCATATTAAGATCTTGGTTTTGCTTAAACAGAATTATACATGTGTATATAAAAAATATCTCCCAAAATTATATAGCCAGCTGCCAGCTTGTTTTTTCGTGATGTTTTTGACATTTTTAATTTTCAAATATTTTCTAGCTAATTGCCAAGTATTATAAGTACACCAAGCTTTTGATAAATGCACTAACTTTTATCATAACACTTAGGACAACTAATCCTTCTGGCCTGAACTTAGCGTATGTAATATTTTTGTACTCCGTGTCATAAAACACCATATGAGCCTGAAACGAAAACAACACCAATACTTCTTTTTTCGAAATTCATTCCATACCTTCGGGGAAAAATTACTTCATATATGCGCAATATGAATTTTTTTTTCTACAGAGTGTTGACAATTTCGAAACCATAATCTTATACAACAGTATTTTTGAAAATCTAACATATTAATGTTAAATATAATGGACTATTGAAATATTAAATATATGATATGACTTTAATGCAGTAAAGAAAATTATTTTATCTGCACCCAGCAGCCAATTAAAGTGAATGGAGATTAATTTTGAATCTTGGTTTCTAGTATGTAGTGCTTAAGTAGGTTTTTTTTTTTTAATTTCATACCTCCATTGGATAGAATTTGTTGTTTATAGAATGTTCTGAACCCTTACTCCTCTCTTTGCCAACATGGATGTGCAGCTGAGCGAAATTGTACGTCTTTTTTCCTCTGTGTGCAACATGGGTAAGGGTTATTTTCCCTTGATCTTTTTTATTCACATCGAAATGCGGTGAATGTCCTTTTCAATTCAGTAAATATACTGATTATTAAATTTTGTATATTGCTGTTATACAAGTGATTTGGCAATCGCAACTGATATTCAAAAGTTACTTTTTTGTGTCACACTTTAATCATGGACCATTTGAATAAATACAATGACATATTGTCTCTCAATTATGTAAAGTAAAAGAAAAAAGATCAGTTGTCTTATGTATGTTTTCAAGAATTTTCCCCGTCAATATCAAATGTAAATTAAGAACAGGAGGTGATATTGACGTTGAATCTTAGAATTTTCTATGTAGCTTAATCTAATGATTATAGAAAACGATGTATGCATTGACTAAGCTGTTTGAAAATCACGATATTTTCCATGTCAGCGGTTATCCTAATGAGAAATACACAACATGCATCACTTAATATATCAGTTGGTGTAACACGAACATAAGCATGTTCCTGCCTAGGAAAATCCAAAATACCAGATGAAGTTAATATTTTTATGTACTGTACCATTGTTGTAGATTTTGGCTTTCACTCTTGTGTCACAACCCTCTAAATTAATGTCTCCGCGGTAATGTTTTAAGGACCTGGCCTTTCTTGTTTCTATGTTAATGGGCGATTGTCTTTCTTTGGAGCCACAAGTTGTCCAACATCTGTTCACATTGCACTCATTCATAAGGGCCTGAAAATCATTTTTTTTAGATGCAATAAAACTTATCATTGTACTCTCTCAAATAAAGTTAAGAAACATATATGAATCGCCTATATGTCCGTCTATCCACGTAATTGTGTCCGAATAGAAAAGATGATGTTATCCAACTATAATCGATCTAAAAAAATCTACAAACAGTACAAATCTGCGTAAAACACTGACTTTCAGAAATTTAAAAAAAAAACAAAACAAAAAACAATTAAAAACAATTAAAAACAAAAAAAGCTCTAGAATTTGTGTCTCTTTCATGACTTTGTTAGAATCACTGGGTGCAATAATTAATAAAATACAGCAGCGGTATCATTTTGTCAGGTCGATCAAAGAACGTCTATTTAGTTTGATTTATATATTGTTTGCTGTTAAAGACCCTTGCAAGATTATTTCAGTGATAATGTGAGACACTACAGTATGCCGGTGATAGGGAGGGGACAAATTTAGACCTTAACTCGGCACTCAGGGCCATGGAGCAATAAGAGTTTTTAAACGTGCCAACACATGGAACCTCCGTTTTGAAGGTCTCATTTAAGGAATTCACTTCAAATTTTAGTGCAGAGCATTTGGCAAAGGAACAGTTGCTACCTATTTTTTTTTATCGTCTTGAACTCACGACATTCCGATCATTGAGCGAACACTCTTCCGACCGAGCTACCGTGACGGTCTAATTAATTTGAATTTACAATTGTCAAATAGAGGAAGAAATCAACAACCAAAATTAATTTAATTGCAAATTAGAGCGACATGAACTATTTTGAAAAGCTACTCTTTATCTCTTTTTCTTTGATATTCTACACGCGTTGTTTCTTACAGATATATTTTTTTTCTTTTGAAGGGACATAAACGCAGATTTGAAGTTTAAATCTTGATATTTTTTAAGGGACATAAACGCAGATTTGAAGTTAAAAATCGTGAATTTTTTATGACTAAATGTTTTGAAGGTTTTTCAGACTGATATAATATAAACGTGTGTTATGAAACTTCTATTTGAAATTTATGAAAACTATTAATTACAGGAATGTTTGAATGTCATTCATATACACCCTTGCACACACATGAACTAAAATTAATCTTTTTTAAGAAGTAGAAAATCTGTGGTGTGCATGTATTGATAAACAATATAAAAAATCTATCATTAGAAAATCAGAATATAAACATGAGACAACAGTACTGTCAATCAAGTCGGTGATGTATATTGTATAAGCAAACTGAACAGATTTGATTAAAAAGTATCATTGTCATCAAATATGAACACTTTATTGTAGTTCAAAACATTGAAGTTAAATTTTAAAAGAAAAGGTTATTTCAAAATAGTAAACCAAAAGGGGAAAAAAGAAATCAAGTGTGTTTATGCCCATGTATAGATGCCTCTAAAGGGAGTATTTGTAATACACTGATTAACTTAAATTTAGGATTTATGGTCCACCAGATGAGTACTCTACTATAAAAGCTTATGTTTTTGATCTCATGCTTTTTATATTCTTCGGAAATTGGGGCAAAAATAAATCAGATAATTTCAAATCAATCTTTTTAAAAGTATTGAAAACACATCAAATCCTGCCAAAAAGACATTTCAACATCTTAGACCCCTCTTTCAGAAAACTAGTCTGAATTCAATCGAAAAAAAAAAAAACTAAATCAAAATCGTATTTTAGCTCAATAAATTGTAGTGATAAAAGTATCCTTTTAATTGTTTTAACATTTAGGGTCAAATTAATTTTTTTTCAATCATTTGGAAAATACATTAACTTTAAATCACATGAAATGATAAGTAAGTTTAACCTTGAAAAAAAAAGTCAAACATTCATATACCGTCACGGTAGCCTTATGGTAGGGTTCATTTCGTGATCAGCAGGCACGGGTTCGGTTTTAATTCGGCGCGCCCAGTCAAACCTAAAATGCATATGTAAACATGGGAAGTGACTTTTCCCTCGCCAAGAGGCAGGAATAAGAATTGAAATTCACTGGCCTTCTGATAAGACCTTGAAAACCGAAGTACTGTGTCACGGTAGGCGTTGGTGCAATAAAAAATCCTCAATGCTCAATGGCTCTGAGTGCCGAATATAGATCTAAAGTTGAAGCCCTTCATATATTCATATATATAGTAACGCCTTTATATGAGCGAAAAATTCTCGGATTGACGTAAAACAACATAATCATCCAAACAATCAATTGAACTTTCAAATCATTTTTTATTAATGAATTTCTTTTCTTTTTTGAAAATACAAACATCTAATCGGAAATAAATTAAGCAAGTACTGAACAAAAATAGTTTGTTGATGGGTTTTCAACCTGTTTATTTTCCTAGCTCATCAGCAGAAAGTATTCTACGGCTTTTGGTCTACAGGTGACTTTAACTTTTTTTAATATTAAAAAAAATATCAATCTTACCCTCGCAAAAATCCTCTCTGTCGTAACTGAAATGAGCGTCCTTGATATTCTTGTAATAACATTTATTTCGTGAGGGAGGTCTTACACCTACATAGCCTACCCCGACTACCGTATTCACACACAGCAAACAGAGGCAAACCAACAGGCTCAGCAATGCCATTTTGACTGAGACGGCAATAAATTCTTACGGCCTTTTATGGTAAAAATTAATTTCTTAAAAATAAATGTGATGTTATGTACACATCTGGATGGAAAACACTTGTTGATGTACCTGCCATAATTTTGACAGTCTATAATTATATGAACACCTTTTCTTTAGCCCCTCTCAGTTGATAAATATTTTTTTAAAAGTTAAAAACAATGCATTTACGTACAATTTAAATCAATTACTTGTTGTCAACACAAACAAAATACGTAAAAAGTTTCAAAAAATTATTTATTTAATTCTACGATACTAACACCATTTATTGTTTCACCTGCAGAGCAGAGCGACACTTAGGGATGACTTTAGCCGGCGCCTGTCTGTCCGTACGTCCTTCTGTTTGTCTGTCACACCTTATATCTCAAGAACTGTAAGACGAATGAATCTGATTCTTTACACGTATATTGCTTGGTCCTAAGACTTTTATAAAATACCATGGTTACCGACCTCTTGACCTTTGAAGTTGACCTTTGAAGAACTTTCAAAGTATATTGAGTCAATATACAGCTTATCTCTGATATTTTCGAGGTAAGTCTAGATCTATGCTATTAAGTATGTCTACTTCTTGTTATTTAAGAAATTTTTAGAGTTTCAGAGTATGGAACCGACATGTAGGATTTGAAATAAAGTTGGTCACGTAATCAATTCCTGAAACGCCAGATGGGCGTTATAGCAAATTTGATCACGTACATGTACAAAGTCCATGTCATTTCCTAATAATACTCTAAAACATGATATTTTATTTCATATTTATATTAAAGTTTATTTCAGTTACAAAGAAAAATATGTACTATTTAGCATGGCCGTAGGAACCAGGGGGGCATATAATTATGCTTGTGCCCCCCCCCCCCCCTCAATAAAAACATCTGATGACCTTTTCTTTTTTTTTTTGCTTGTCAAGAAATTTTTGGTAGTTGATAGTGCCCCCTCAACTGAAAATGTATGGATGTGCCCCCCCCCCCCCCCAACTAAAATTGCTTCCCATGGGCCTGTTAAGCCTTTGTTATGGAAATGCAACATAAGGTGCCTGTACGTTGTCACATGACGTCACAGTCTAGACCTTCCAAAAGTCTCGTGCAGTTTGCTTTCCATACGCAAAAATGTCTGATCATATGACCAACCGCATGTCATTGAAAATTGAATGCCATTCTAATCAGTATTGTTATATAAGGAATGACTTCGGCAATTGTAAATAATAGATATTATTACACAATACCAGCGTAACAGTCTACTGACCTTGACCTTTAACCTGCTTTGCAAAAATACGAACAGTTAATTAAAAAACTGTCTTTTGAATTTTGAGAGGCAGTGTTTCCATAACTAACATATATATCACATGTTTGCGAGTGAGTTACAGTGTACTTTAAAACCGTATTTTATACGGTATACCATACAAAATGAAATTTGAGTACCATATAAAATGATATTTGAGTACCATGAAAATATATCGGGATCGGTATCCCAAAATGGAATGCACTTCAAATTAAGTTGTAGACTGAGAAATGCAGTAAAGATAGACCGAAATCTCTCTAGGGATTGTGGAAGAAACAGTGAACAAAATGACAAATATATTCTAATTTCTTATTCAAGTTCATTAACCATTTTATCCTTTAGAATTAGGGAATCATATTTTTTTAACTATAGGTATCATATTTTATATTTCATCGAAGTCTTTCTATCCCTGGTGTTTTAAAATATATATAAGAAAGTATTCCTAAATGATAACGTGAATATCATGTAAAGAATCAAAACCATTAGTGAAATTACTATTTAAATTACTATTTCACAAAAGGTAATTTTTAAATTTTCTTTACAGATATATTTTTTGCGATTTTATGAGCATTCATTAAAACAGGGTTGTAGATACCTAGTAATAATTTTCAAGATAATTACAAAACAGATGAACGAAAGAGGAAAATTACTAATATATACATGTAGCTTAGTTCAGAAGAAATTGACAAATTATCTACAGACGCTGTATTTATAAAAAAAAATAATTCAGACTTACTGAGGTCACTTGCTGTAAAACAAATACTGTCATACATGTATGTTACAACATTATCGTAACAAATAGTAACATTGCTTGCTTTAAGGTACATGTACTCTTAAAATTACAACCTTGTTAATTTTTTTTTTTTTGAAATTGCAACTTTACCAAAAAAAAAAAAAAAAAAAAAAAAAAATCTCAAAAGCCTCACGCTAAATGTTGATCTGTTGTTATGGTCATGAATAATTATTTAAGTGGCATAACGTAGTAGGCAACATAAACTTACATTGACAATTGAATGAGAGATTTGTGCAAAATTAAAAATAACATTAGTGAAAATAATTATAATGCAATAGAAGAAACCAACAACTTGCATTTTATGAATATGACACAGATAACATCAAGTTTCTCAGATATTTTTGGTTGTTTGTTTTTACATCCAATGCAGATTTTTTACCCAAACTGGGACGCCACGAATTTTCGGTGGAATGATGCCAATACAAACCTGTACTCGACTTGTGTAGCAAATGAGCAATGAGGGATCTTTATTATGCCAGTATCTCCTGCGACAATGAGCCTCGGTAATTTAGTTTCATCCAAAATACCAGCGGTTTAGCATACGCTATATGAATGAAAAAAAAAAAAAAGATTGCAACGCCTATTATTGGATTGATTGATTGATTGTATGTTGTTTCACGTCCCGTTCGAGAATTTTTCACTCATATAGAGACGTCACCATATACCGGTGAAGGGCTTCAAATTTCGTTACTAGGCATTTAGGGCCATTGAGCAGCGAGGGTTCTTTATCGTGCCATCGTGTTATCGTGTCCTGCCGTGACACGGGGTTTCGGTTTTTAAGGTCTCATCATTAGAAGACATATTATGGATTATATGTAACATGTCTACTATAAAACTTTTTCTCCTAAAAAAAGAAGTGTATCATTCATTTCAACTGCCTTTACATGTATATAACTCACATTGTTTGTTGATACACTGTGTAATCTTATAACGAAGCTTCAGCAGTCCCAGAAAGCAGTTCACGGGACTGCCATTGGACTCTTTTCTGTCAAGTTTGGTCTGGTTTATAATGTACCATTAATTTTTTTTTAAATGAACAGCTGCTTAAAAGAAGGACATGTCAATAAAAATGAGTCCATTTACTCTCCAAGAGTGTTGATGTTGGGTGTTTTGTCCTATTTTTAGTGACATTGGCTACTTTAATTTGAAAATTTTGCATAATTTAAAATTGTAGAACTTAAAACTCAAAATACTTACACAAATGGAATCGTTGTTTGATATCTCACAAGTAGATGAAATGTGCTAACTAATTGTTGGTAAACTTTGAATTATCAAAATGTCTGCACATTCAGTAGAGTTACTGTATTTCTAGAAAGCAAGCCGAAAAAATGTGCTAATTAAATTTTTTTAAACAAATTTCCTTTCTTTTTATTATTTTGAAGCTAGTGAAAGAGTGTATAGTCTCGTACATTTACCTCATTAAAAAATAGATTAGCATTCATGGGACATCCTATTATTAGGCAGAGCTGCACCGCTAGATATGCATGTGGAGTGAAAAATATTTTAGAAAGGAAATTGATGTTAATTAAAGTTTCATAAATATTATATACAGGTTTTTTTAAAACTCACTATAATGCATGAAATTGTTAATTAAGCACGTGTTCTTGATTATTTTGCTTTACTTCTTTTCTACCGAACATATACATGTATATGTTAGCGAGCAACATAATGTAGTTTTTTTATTCAAAACTCAACAAATTCAAAACTTTTGTGGTTTTGCTAACTTTTAAGTTTGGAAAGTTTTGGAAGTATCTGGCATGTATAGAAAATTGAAGATTTTATCAGGGATCAGGTATATTGCTCGGAATGAAGTATTGATTATTATATTTCAGAAAAATCATAAGATATAACATTGCAGTGCCTGTTCTTCTGCCCGGTCGGTTACATTTCGACATTTTCATTGGTAGCTTCTCACCTTTTTTCGTCTTTAAGACCTGTGAAAAATTGAAGATATCTGAATCTAGATCAGAACCATACGGGCTACTACTGTCATATCGCTATATCATTTTGATATACTGTACTATGGCCAATGTTGGCCTGTCCACTTAGCGGATACCCTGTATCCTGGCAATGTACTCCTCCTTCTTGTGTTGACGGCGACCGTCTCTCAGTCCCTCCTCTGTGCCCCTATGAAAGAAAAAAGTGACAGAGGATTGGAAAATTTTCAAAACAATTCAAGAAATGTCTGAAAAAATCCTATAAATATAGTCATTACAACAAAACATGTCTGAAAAATATATAGGAACTTCAAAACAAACAATTACCAATGGAAAGTGCATAGAATGGGTTAAGTAATGTTAGAAAGGGTAAGGAAGAAAGAGGAGACAGAAATACAAAAAGAAAGGAAACAACACGTTTGTGTATTGGCAGTTTTATGCATATGAAACTTTCATGTTTTAGGTATTCACAAAATAGCGACACTTTTATATTACTTTTTGATGAGATATTGTTAAAGAATGGAAGAAAAAAAGAGTAACTGATTGGTCCTTTTAGTTTTCCAAATTCAGACACTACATCAAAAACAAACATAAACGCATCTTTGACAACCACACTTAATAAAAATTACGTTGATTATGAGTTCTATCCATGTTTTAATTGCAACACCCAAAAATTCAAATAAACATTCATCCTCTATATGTACATCTTTTCGAAATCGTACCAATGTGTTTCTTGATTAAGCTTTTTATAATAGAAACATAGAAAAGGTCATTGAGGTATAATAATGATATTTTGATAAAACTTGCAATTAAAGAGACAGCCAAGAATTTTACCTTCTTCCTTTTTCATTGAAAGAGATTTACACTGTAAACATTGGAACGATATGCGGTTTTTAATTAAAATGGTACTATATTCCGTTTCCAATTTACTATACATTTTTTTAATTCAAC